ATTGTAGATGTAATAGATGTATATACCATGCATGTATAAATATATACTGTAGATTTAATACATATATATATATATGTATAATATATGTATATGCAAATTACATGTATGTAATTTATATAGCATGGCAAGTGCCGTGGTTTGGAGGGGTAGCTCGGTAGATCATGGGTTCCTGCCCTTCAAAGACAAGTTGGAAGGAGGATAATAATGGGGGTCCATGTTCAGGCTTCTACCTATACTAAATCATCAACAACCAACGAACAGATGCCCAGTTTTTTTCGACTGCTTTGCCTGGGAAAAAGAGCCTTGGAACCCCAACGGTTCAACCTGTTCAACGGTTCAACGGGATCCTTTTGGTCAGATTCATGGGGAATTTCTTCCTTTCGTCACGTCCAAGACGGCTCTCATGTCGGACGGCGGCCACCGGGCCACCGGGTGTTCGCGCGGGTTTGGCATGGCGGTGCATGGGTTGGGCGGTGTGACCACCCAGGCACCATCGGAATCATGATGGTCATACCATCATCCTTGGAAGCCCGTGCGTTGCCTCAGAGATGCGAGTCGAGTGCGTTGACTGGAGTGCTAGACAGAGTGATCGAACAGCGCACCCCTGTGTGCGGAACCGCACTCCAGAGTATGACTCGAGTCAAAATGGTCAGTTCGATCTCATGTTACTGGAGTTGCTCATACAAAAACACTACTCAAGTAGGTCAGAGACCAGGTTTGGACCTGGGTCAGACCGGACCCGTAAGGCCAAGTAAGGCATGCGCTACTCCAGGCATGTGGACAGCTATGCCTCTGCTCGCTTCTTCGTTGGGTCACATGACATGTCCCAGCTTTCTAGAGGAATTGGTCCCATGACAAATCTGCCGCTCTGCCATGTGATGCGTTCGTTGGAGTCAGTCTCAGATGCTGAGTTTCATTGGAATGGGTCCGATTCACATGATTCACATGTCGCCAGGACGACATGGCGACCCGACTATACCCTACCCATTGCATGGTGTGTCAAGACAGAGTGATCTACCCTGATTCGGGCAGTTGCTCTTTACCAAACCCATGTCCACCCAGGACTGCCAAGACTCTCATCGAGTTCCTCTTCGAGGACTGACGTTCTGACCGGAGGACATGGAGAAGTGCCGTGCGGTTCCAGCAATGTGTGCCAGGGAACGCCAAACAAAAGCATGTCTTGTGGAATGAACTCTTGACTCTTGAACTTTGATGCAGGTAAGTCAGGATTATAATGGTAATTATGGATAGAATATGATACAATACACACAGAGAACACACCAATAACATGATGCATGCCTGTTTCTTTTCTCTTCATTTTTTTCACGGCTTCGAGCGTTGGGGCTACTGTGGCCAACAATTCGACCAATTGGTTGATCCTGGCCGCATGCTTTGTCAGTCCATCTCCAAGTTGATTTGTGGTTGTAGCCTTCTGGTCACTGAAAGATCCCTTAAGATGTCAACATGGGGTCAAACAAGCTACCGATGACCGATAGACTGCCATAGACTCTTGGGCCTTTGCTATCCCTTCAAAAGAGTTATCATGTCCTTGGATGCACACTGATGCATATTTATTGATATATATATATATACACACCATTATACACCTGATGTCAGATTGGGTGATTTATCGAGGGTATATACCTGCATCTTTGATCCCTGGTGTCAGATTCTTGTCACGCTCGACTCAGTACTACCACCTGAACCACTTTACCGGTGGCCTGGACTTCGAGCGCGAGGCGGGACTGAGGCGGCGGTGCAGAGTGGTGGTCTGTCCAGCGATCACCAGCGGATCACATCGTCAAGTTCTCCCAAATAATAGATTGATATAGAGTGTATAGATCAGAGTTTAAACATTAACTGCATACTAATGTTAACGAAGTGTCCGACTCAAAACCTCCAGTTTCACTGATCCTTTTTTGTTTCGACGGAACCGTCTCCGATCCCAGAACACTTGGGTTGGTTCCGAAGCCGTCCGGCTGCGAGGCGAGTGATGTGGTCGTCTTTTTGGAAGATGCCAAGGTCTTGGCCCATCTCAGAAGGTGCCATCATCAGACTGCGCTGTACGCCAACAAACAGACGACTGTCAGGTCATTGGTTGTGGGGGTGGTTGCATGTGAGTTCCAGGTGTTTGTTCTTTTGGTCGCTTGGACCGGTTGGAGGTGGTCAAGTCTCGGTACTGGGCGCTTGAACCAACTGGGCGCCCAACAGGAAGAACGAAGCGCTCGTTTCCTCTCATGAACGACTGCTTCGCAAAAAAACACATTTTTTAATCGATTGGGTGAAAGGCCACTACTATCAGCACCATTCCTCAAGAATGTGCTGGGGGAGACCCTAGAAGTCGAAGCACCATTGATTTAATTGCCTGAATTTTGAACGGCCATTGTTTTAAGAAGGATTTTACAGTATACAAAACGTCTAGGGTATCAAGTACATGCATACCAACATCCCGCTATTGGTGTTTGATCCCCACGAGCGCTCCAAAGTGGAGGTACAAAAACAACAACTCCATGCGTTTTACTCGCGCTGTTCGTGGGAGGACACCGTTCGTGTGCCAAAAATGGGAACACGCTCCCTGTTGGAAACCAGGTTTCGGAGACACCTGGTTTCCATTGGTTTCCCAGAATGGTGGGAAAATCTTTGAAAGAAGCGTTGAAGGTGTCTTCTCCCATCTTCTCCCTTCTAGGTCCCTTCCAACTGCTCAGAAGGTGAAGAGAATCCAACCAGCTAAGGTGAGGAGAATCCGATAGAACAAGCCAGGACACCCAGACTGGATGATCCTGAATCTAAGAGGTGGTTGGAAGATGTTGGAATCCTGTAGAGTCAATCACATATCCCAGACATTCCATGTATTCCAGACCTTGATTTCGTGACCTTTTTGGAGTCTCTAAGTAACCTCTTTTAGGACTAAGGGACCTCGTTCTGAGACATCAAAAGGCCGCATTGAAGGTCGCCTGGAATACCTTGATATAGCTATTTTGATGCCCTTTTCAACCATCCCAATGTCACTCAAATCTGCCAGTTCCATGGGTCATGTTTAGGTATGAATACCCCATGCAACACCGCGCCGAACGCGAGACTCGAACACGACCGACGCCACAGACGGGATCCTGGGTCAGAAAGATTGTTCAATCAAGAGAACTGGGTGTGGGGAGACTGGCACCAGGATCCTGGCTCTGGGCACGACCTGGCACGACCTGAGACGAAACAACTGGTCGATAGATGGTGGACGCATTCCCGCGCTTCTGGGTGATTGATCCATATATACCTATCCACATCCATCCGGAGAGAAAAATCCACAAACCGGTCTCCTGACAGGCTCTTGGACCTAAAGGATGCTTCATTGCTGGGGGGGCCCAGAGAGAGGTCTCAAACAAAGCTTCCAGCCAACGGGTGAATTCAGGGCCTCAGGTGGGCCTCCAGGGCCTCCGATGGCCAATGGATTGCATGACCGTGCCATATTGTTGGAGTGTTTTTTTTCTTTTCGTGATGCCAACACGAAAGACCACCGCACGGATTTGTTCTTTTCCTCACAGCAAAGTCGTCGACTGCCCGGGAAATGCTGCTCGCTTCGGGGAACCGGGCCAGGTTGTGTGAGGAGTCCTCCCCCCAAAACAGCTGCTAAGATAAAGATGTCCAACTTCCAGGCTCATCTCCTTAGCTGCTTCGGTGATACTTCCGTCAAACGTGTATGTCCTTCTTCCATGTTCTTCCAAACGGCTTCGTTTGGCAAAGACCTGGCTTTCCTGCGTTTTGTTGTACATTTCTTGGAGCCTATCGTAGGACGATCTGTTTTCCAAAATGGTCTCCAAGCCATGAAGGGCTCAAACCCGCTTCTGGCAGCTTTTGCTGGAGTCAGGTTTCGCAGTCGAGTCTTCCTCATCAAGGGCACTGCCACACTGACGCCTTTGGCGAAGTCCCGTGTGTTCGAGAAGTGGACCTGGGTGAAACAGGGCGGCTCTCGGAAGGCATGTCCAGTACATTGTAGTCAGTACATACTCTTGGTAGCAGCAACAATTATACTCTTCGTGTGCTGTCTTGCAGGATTTTGGCAACCAATCCAATCAATGCCTTCACATTAACCTGACAAACATCTCAACAACTGTCCACTCTTCTGTTAATGACCCTCCCACAAGGCTATGAGTCTTGACACAGATGACAAGATCCCACCACTCAAGGATGACCCTCCGCAGGGGAAGGTGTGGGGTTCAAGCAGAGCGGCACCAACAGCCTCAACAGCCAATGCCAATGCCCCAACACCCTATGGTCTTTTTCCTGGTGTTGCTTAAGAATTGTTCTTTTCCCTATGAGCCTATGAGTGAATCCCCTTCTGGTGATGTGTTTATGTTTTTGATTTTTTTGCCAGGCGTTTCAACACTACGACTGCCGCCGGGCCTGTGCGGCTCATGCCAAGCGTGTGGTCGTGGTGCACTCAGTGTGTCCACTCCCAGAGTTACCTACGAAGATGAAGGGATGAAGGGATATGTAGGACAGGACTCAGGACGCCTTGTTGCACCGGGCTGCATGTAGTAGCGTCTTCTTGTCAGCCACAACACGTGGAGAAGGAACTGAGAACCTGTCTTCCAATCCATGATACTGACTAGTAACTAGTACTGATGGGGGTGGTTATCATGTCTTTGTCTCTGTGGATGTTTGAAACCAATCATCGACCCACTTTGTGCGCTTTGAAAGTTCATGCCATACGACCCCCATTCTCCAAGAGCTTGTGCCACTGGTTCGGCGAAGTCTTGTGCCGGTCGAGAAAACATGCGCAGGTTGCAGGAGGGCTCAGAACTATAATGATTGGAACAATTTGGAACAGGTTTATATTTATATATATACCAGGAGTCACAAAGGGGTGGTGTTTAGTCCCTAAGTGAGTGGATAATGGGCACCCCTACCCTCCATTAAGCACCCCTTTGTGACTGCTGGTATATGCATAACTTCAGGTTAGAGGTGGAGAATCGGTCAAGAATGTCCATGGTCACCGCACCAATGACCGGACTCAGGTTGTCAAGCTCTTTCGAAGTGGTTCTTTGCAGGTTCCACCGTTCTTTCCACCGTTCTTTCCTGGTTCAGCCCTTTAGGCTCATCTAGCTCGGACTGACGTTCGACTTGGATTCGCCCCCCAATCTCCACCGTCGTGGATCATGGAGTCTCAGGCTCAGGCGGCCCTGTTTTCTGTTTTGGACGTCGGCCGGTGTTTCTTTTCGGCCCAGTCATGCGGGACGTGTTGATGAACAACTCCAGCCGGCGATCCAGATCGACCGGTCTGCCACTCATCATTCAGTTCGGAATTGCTCGAGCAACAAAGCAGAGGAATTCGTTCGGCAACGAAACGGCCAAGCACGCGTTGCTCGCGTGGGCCTCCTATTCGGAGACACCCCACACTCAGTCACGACAGAAATCCTGCACGTGGTGAGCCAATCAAAAAACCGAAAGGTTTTTGGAAGATGTGGCATCTAGAAACTAACCCTGTGCAGTTCCATGACAGTTACATATAGAATTCGCTTCGGTTTAACCAAGAGCGGCCTCCCAGACTCCTCAAAATGCAGGTGCGCATTATTATTTTTTTTACAGCACCGTGCATTCGTAAGCTTGCGCTTGGTCCCACCAGGCGTGCGGAGTCTTGAAGTATACGAAGATCTGCCGACATTGGCGAAGCGGTAGCTGCTTCCGCGGATCCAGCTGCGACTTCGCACACTCTGACTCTCACAGAGGTGAGAAGAAACATGGGAGGTGTGGGTCCTTTCAGAAAGAAACTGAACCCATGTAGGTTTCCCCTATGAAATGGGGGGGGTCATGGTACTCCAGAAAACGGTTCATGCCTACCCCTGTGGGGGGGTTAGGTCTTGATTTTATAGAGAAAATCTTAGAGAACATCTGGTTTGCAGAGAAAATCTGCGATGGAAAGAAAAAGGTAGTCTTTGAACGCAGGAAACAGATAATCAGACATCACAAACTGAGGCGGTGGGGCCCAGCCATTTTATATAAGTGGTCGGGTAGGTCCCTCCCCCAAAGTATACTACATGGAGGGTCACACCTCAACACTTTATATCTATAAAATGGCCCTGAATATATCTCACTGATCTCACTGCAAATGGAGAACATTGGGGCTCTATTGATGAGCATTTTGGTAAATCTATGGTAAATCTATAATGTATAAAGCATACAAATAGATTTTAAATCTATATATATATATATTTGATGTTAGCCACGGTTGTAAATGGTGATGTCTATTCTCATGAACCTTTCATGGTTCTTCGCTTCCCAGCCCTACTCCGCTCACTCACATCCCTTCACAAACGCCGCGGATCGGACCGGACCCTCGGACGTCCCGTCTCCTTCCTCGGACGACCCGAGGACCTGGAATTGCGCGAGGCTCCCAACTTGGTGCCTGGGCGAAGCTCAAAACGACGGGACGTGAGAGAGAAGACTTTTGGAAGACTTCGTTCAGGGGGATACACGGACCTTATAATTCTCTATTAAGACACCTGAACGAGGTCAGAGAAGCGACCATCTTGGAATCCCGACATGAAGAGTTTTATGCTTCGGTGGCTCCCTGACACCATGGTGTTGTGTCTGTTTCCATATCTTGACTTGCATGTTGATGAATAACAACACCTCCTCGTCTCCTGCGAGGGGGGCACTAGTATCTATCCCCAAGATTTCACATTGTGAACTAATCCTGGGACTTCACGAGGAAATCCTTCTTCGTCGTTCTTCGAACTTCCTCCCCACTTCGACCTGGTGCCAGTGCCATTCGAAGGAAACACATATAGAAAACGCTCATTGAAGTGAAGATCTCTACCAGAATCTCCCATTATCTGAAATCCCAATATTCCAACCACCTTTTGGTATCCAAAGCATACCATTGAAGACTTGAACAATCTTGAACATATATTAGAATGTCATTCCATATGACTCCATGTCCTGAAAGAAGAGTATTTGTACAAAACACAACACAAACAAAACCGGGACCTTCAAACACGGCCTCTTGACCCAGGTGAAGACGCAGCTTTGCTTCCGTTTCAACTCGAAGGGTCGGTGCAACAAGGGCTCCTTCTGCCGCTTCGCGCATGGCCTGGACGAACTGCAGCATGTTGCCGCGGCGCCCAACGGGCGTCTCAACGAGGAGCCGATGAAGGTGCGCTCCGAGGAGTCAAAGGAAAAAGATGGGGGGTCCACTTCTCTGAAACCCTCAGACTTGGACACTTGTGCCATCTACTTTGGGTTTGTCTTATTACTTGTCACAGGGGTTCAAACAGAACTCCACTAAAATATAGAGATTCATCATCCGAATAGGGTCCTGGTTTAGTGGGATAGAGCCAACATCTACCCGGTATCTACCCCTACAAGTCCAAAGATCCAGCCCCAAACCTGTTTTTTTTCTCTCCTAAAGTAGTGGTTTTCGTCATGACCAACTCCAGTATTTCATGAGGTCAAACTGACCTGTAGCCACTAATCCACTCGAACCATCCAGGTCCGCCTACCCGAGCTCCCTTTGCGGCCACCGCCGGGCTTGGAGCATTTGACACTGGGAGCCAGTCACCGTACAGCTGGGAGGTGATGTGTTGTGTGTGTGTTTTTTTCTATTGGGGTTGTTAGCATTCTACCAAAGAACTCGAGACACATACTAGTATGTGACACAAATACAGTCTGAGTCGTTTGTTTGGTTGACGTCATTCATCCTTTGATTGCTTCTGAAATGTTTTTTGGAGCAGTTCATAATGTCAGGTTGGTGTACTGTAAGTATGTACAGATGTGACACGACCGAAGCCTGCCAGGCCATCGAAGACTTGGTAGTTTTGTGCGGATTCCCATTGATCAACCCAAGTCAACATTTCTGTGGCAGGATGTTTCTTCAGGTGAAGCTGGATTCTTAGAGTCTATGTCTACAGTACAGGGCTCTTGAATAGCAGCTAGCTGGCAGGGGAAAAATCCCGACGCATGCACGCACTCATGGACTCATGGCGCACCCAGGAAGCCGTTGAGCCTTTTGGACTTGGAGACTTTGAGCTGCGTTTCCACCTCTGAGAGCACCCCCAGGGAAGAGCCAAGTGGCAAGGAGGCAGACAGGGCAGGATGGGGTGGCTTGAGACTCGCATTTCATCTGCTCAGGGAACCCAAGTTAAAACGCTTCTGAACCTTAGTCATACCTGCAGTACATGGTACATGGCAGACATGGGTAGCCAAGGGTTTGGAAGGTTTGGTGAACCATAGGCAGATCTAAGCAGGCATTGGAACCGTGACTGCGGGTCTCCCCCGGGGAGGTTCAGAGACAGGTCCGATTTATCCGATAATTTGTGTTTGGTTTTGTATACACATCACTTGATTTATCTCCCCAGGTTTTGACACCCCTTAGGGGCCTAGATGGGCCGGGTCTCTTGGGTCTCCTGGGTCTGGGTGTCGTGCCCCAGCCACTGTGTTCCTTCCTGCTTCGGCCGACCGGTGCTCAAACCCCCAACCCTCAAAGACTGGCTGCCATGCTGCTTGCAGCGTCGGCGGCTGGTGTGGGGCGAAAAAACTGAATAAAAGGACACCTGCAACGACCCCAATGGCCTCATGGGTGTTGTTGAGTCATTTACGCTGCCTTTTTGACTGCCTTGCGACATGAGAGGTCGTCGTTTTTTATCCGTGAGAGGTCGTTATTCTTGGAACACCTCCGCGAGAAAGAACACCTTCGACGTTTCAGAAACCTTTCATAGCACACACCCACAGCCCTGACACTCAATAAAAGGGGTTGAAGAATGCATCGCCTGCAAACATGTACTCAAAGGATACACTATACCCTCATGAGGGGTCACTGTAAAGAAGACAAAGAAGGACCTTGCGATGGGATGTGACGGAATGAGCGAACTTCATTGGTCTTTCTTGGAATGAACTCCCTGTCTAAGAGGACGCCAATAGTGGATTGCCAATGATCCAATCATTCTGAGATGTGGTGAAGTCTCTTGAGATCTCGTGAGATCTTTGCCGGGGAGGAGTGCTTTAACCCCCTGGTGTTTTACAGCACTTGGTTGGGAGGAGTCCCCGCAATCCGTGGAGGTGACACGGTGGATTCCTTCCAACCATTTTTAGGTGACACGACTGGTGGACAGATTGACATGTATAGTGCAAGGATGCACCTTTCACACGGATTGTGTGAAACCTTTAGAGAATTCACAAGAAGAAGCCGATTTGTACAGCTTCCAAGAACGTCCCTCAGTTCTGATCCGGCTCCGGTGGAGGGAACCGTCCGAAAAAAAGGAACCGTCTCTGACCCAAGCAGTGGGGCCGACCCAACCGGCGCTTTGGGAAGGTTTCGCTGAAAATCTTTAGAGAGGGGTCAGGATAGATTACTGCTGTTTTGAGACTGGTCTCCCTTTAAACACCAGCTGGACGCTGGGCGGATCTACTGGAGGAGTTTTGCTCCAAAGAGCTGCACATGCCCTGCAGCTTGCCGGCGAAGAAGCCTCGCGCTGGTGTGGCATGTCCAGAGTGGCATCCTACCAGATTGTATAAAGGAGGTGCTGGACAAAGAAGCGTGACGTACTTGGGGCCTGGGCTGTTCAAACCGCTGGAGCGTTCACACCGTTGTCGTTGATGTTGGCTGGGCTTACTCCCGTGGCCCAGGCACCACATCGGTAAGAAAGCAAATTACATCAATGATACAAATGAAGCCTTGGACACAATAGCCCTCGCAAAACTGTGATTAGCTTTGCTTGAACATGTCCGGCAATAGTGAACAACATGAACATGTCCGGCAGTGTTTTGGCATGTCACTTCATCAGATCCAATGGAACTTCTTGATTTCATATGCATAGGTATGCAAGAGGCACTTCTCCGTGGAGGGATCCTATGGTTCTATTCACCACCAACGTGATACTAGTAGGACAATATATATATATATAATTACATATGTATATATATATATATCAATCTATATAATTATAGATAATTAGTATAACAGAAACCAACACCACATGCATCTTCTTGCATTACAACATGTTGATGGCACATCTTCCATTTTTGAGCAGCTCAGTCTTGGTTGCCGCCATTTTAGTGCGCAACATGATGGGTTTCAGCCCATCATAGATGATGTTTGCAGCCCATTCAACCAGGCTTCGGCTTCACCTCATTCGGCCCTCTGAGGTTCTTCCAGACATGCAGACCTCCGATGTGGTTCGGGATGATCAGACAAACATCATGCGTCCGGTGACCCCGGACTGTCCGGGTTCAGACCGGGTTGAGACCGGGCGTGCCTGGGTGAAGACATGCCCGGGTCCAGGTTAAAAACCTTTCCGGATGGTTGAACTGAGGTGAGTACATACCCCCTATAGAGATCTATATAGTATGGTCTCAGGTGGGGAGTGCAGGAGTTCGGTCCCCTGGGTAGAGGAGCGTGAGGATAAATAGACAGAACTGTTATCAGACATTCGCGTTTGAGAATATGTCAACCAGTTACGCGAAGTCGGTCTATGACACATTATGGCACGATGCAAGTTCTTGGTGACCAACATGCAGTCGACATATGAACGCAAGTATATACCTGACAGGATTTGGTTTTGTGATTTTGTTGTGCTACGTCAATCTGAAAGCATCGCCAAGCATCCATGGCGCCACGGCCGTCCGTTGGGTCGACGTGCGAACGTGGCCGTTTGGGCCGTCAGAGGCACCTACGCCATGTGTGCAGCGTCGCCGAGGGTGCGTGCCACCTGTCGAGGAGCCCCAGCTGGCTTGGGCGACCGTCCTTTCGCGTCCTTCCGCGACGGTATCAAGAAGGGTATGGGATAGCTATTGACCTGTATCAGCCATACCATACCATATGGGGTATGCCATACCATACCATCCCCAAGAAGTGCGGATATGGCATACTGACCTGGGACGCTGGCGGAACCACCGAAGCGACATGAGACCAGACCCTCACGACGTGACCGAGAGAAAGGTCGACGTCAACCGAGGCGGAAAGGCTGAAAAAGGGCTGGATGATTGCACAAAGGCTTCAAAAGGGCAGAAATCCAAGGCTTCAGTAGGTCGAACGAAGGCCTGTATAGGGCTAGAATTTGGCTAGATAGAGAAATCCCCAAGGGTGAAAGGTTGAAAGGTCCAAAAGTTGGTTGGTGAGACTGGTCAGGAATGAGTCCGACCGATCGATATACCATACCATACCAGGTCACCAGGTCTCTCCCTGGTCGGTGGAAGTGACAGTGACCTGGTCATACCAGGTCTCTCCCTGCCGAAAACGTTCGCTGGACCATCGGCATGCAAACAGCAGCCCTCCATTGGCATCGACGGATGGTCTTTGGACAGATTTGAAAGCTCTTTGGATCCACTGGTGACTGGATGATCAAGTGATTCGCAGACGACCTGAGGTTTGCTGCACAGTTCTCAGCGGGAGCCTGAGTTGATTTGGAGGACAGGACAGACCCCATGGTGAAAAAAACAGTGATTGCTAAGCATAATTTGTTCTCGATATTGTGAACCACCGCGTGTGGGATGACCTGTGATTCTATAGTACCAGGCTGCTAGACAGAGTTCATTGGGTATGCAAGCTTGGACCCAGAACGATGAGGCCATGGGTATCCATGGGTCATGTGCTTCGCTTGTTTCGCTTCGAATTTTGGGGCGACCTCAACATCAGGCTATATATATATATATATATGTGACCTAAGAGTTCCATTTCCAACCATGAAGTTGGTCAAACCCTTCTCCAAGAAGCCTTGACCACCAGCAAATCCGACGCAAACTGATCCTCCGTGGCCGCCACAGGCATTCGGGCTCAGTACTCTCCGGTTCCACGCCCAACAGCTACTTCGTCAGCTGGGGGCCCTTCAGATCGGTCATAGCACCAGGGGAGCTTCTTGTTACGCTTCTTGTTACTAGTAGCGATGGCCTCCACCGTGCGTTTTGTTCTTGTTCTTGTTACTAGTCAACCTAGCAGGGTGAAGTGGGAGTCTCGGGACTTCCCGGTGGCTGCGTCGGGAGATAAAGCGTTTTTCTCAGCCCAACATGGGTCCCTGGAGTTGGGTCGATGAGTGAGCCAGTTAGATCAACTTGTTTTGTTTAATCCTAGAAAGTAGGCGAATGAGTTTGAGATGATTGATCTCACATGATCAAACTGAAGCCTCTAAAAACAAATGCTTGGAGCCTCAAGATCTTACTCATTTTTCAGCCGACTGGCACTGAATTCAGCCTTTTGTACGCAAGGCATCGATGCTGTGAAGATGGGGATGATGGGCAAGGCCGGCCAGACTGGAACGCTTTGCTGTAAACCAAACCACTTCATCTTCAGATGTATGGAGCCTTCTATTGCCCTGAGGATATTCGTTGTGCTGGTCATATTTGTGTATGCATCTCATTTTGAACATGCGATGGACAAGGCAGAAACTTGGAATAGACTCCATCCGCTCCTGCAGATCTTGTCCTGCCACAGGCCTGTATGTTTCCTGGAGCAATTGCCATGATTTGCAACCTTTGTGTCTCTGTAGGCGAGGTCTCGGAATCCAACGGGTCGCTCTTGAGTCACCAGGGTTTCGGGTAGCCCTCGGTTTGCAGCCGAAGGTACCACAGCTTTTCTTCGGATGTGGAAGGTTAGATGGTCAGAAAACGGCCATCTCACAGCAACACTCACTGGTCAGAGCGTCGCCATAGTTCAGTGATCGTTTCCAATTGGTTGCGATGCTTGAAGCAAAACCCCAGAGAACCTTTCCCAAGGACTACTTTATGTCATTGCATCATCCCTTGCTACAGGGCGAAAGCAGAGTCAGATCCCTGCTGCAGCCTGCATCCTCTTCAGGACCTTTGACGGCTTGAAGAAGTTTGGAGGGGGAAACACCTGCCACTGCCACCCAGCTGTTTTATGGTTCTTTCAGTGTGCAAGTTTTCTGGAAACACCAACAGGAAAGTATTGAACAGCTGACTGATCTCGGAAAACTCAAATGCTCAAATAGCTCGTCCATGTATGATATGCCAGGGACCTTTAGTTCGTGATCCAATTTGCAGTCTCCAAGTAACCGTAACTGTAACGTCTTTAGATCTCTTTAAGGGGCTAACTGACAGGGTTGGTTGGTGCATCACTTGTGCACCGCGAATTTGGATCGCTTGTGCACCGCGATCACGTCACTTTAGCCCAGAAATAGTAATTGTGGAAAATCCTTGGTGCGCAAGTGATCCATTGCTGTTGTCCAATTTTGCAACCCTTACAGCACTTTAAGGCTTCGTGGTGCGCAAGTGATCCCAATCTGTGGTGCGCAAGTGATCCCCTTACCGACAGGTTCTGGGATCTCAAAAGGTCACTTTGAAAGGTCCTGGTGTATGGTTGTCAGACGATTTTTGCTATTGCATCTTGGGTCCCACAAAAACTTCCCCTGGAGGCCAGGGAGCTGAGCAAATGTACAGTGTGCGGCGGCACTGGCTCAGTGCGGGGCCTTATGAAGCAGATGGATGGACCACACAAATTTGATGAAAAGGCATGGCATGACCATGTCATGGCACTGGGTTGGTGAAACACGGCGGCTGATTCCAAGAGGGATATGTTTTTTGTACTTTTTTTGCTTAAATGTATACTATGTTCCAGTGACATGAGGACTCTATAAACGACTGCCGCAGGCACCCCCAAACTCATGTCATTTGCCCAACTGCAGGGAAAAAATGAACATCGGCGATAACTAAAATTTACCTATGTCATCTACCATCTGGCACATTTAGCCAATTGTGAGCCAGTGCTGGAGAGGGGGGGAGTACGGAAGGACATGACATAGTTTAACCAGCTAAAAAATGGACATTGATTTTAGACCATGTCATTTGTTTCTAACCATTTTCACCTATCCTGCAAACCCATGTCATTTGCTGCTGTCGATGCTGGAAAGTACCCATGTCATCTGCACATTGTATATATTACTATATTATATATAGAATATATTA